TGCACATAATGGGAGTCCCAGAAGGAAAGGAGAGGGAGAAAGAGGCAGAAAGAATATTTGAAGAAATAATGACTGAAAACATCCCAAATTTGATGAAAACTATTAACCTACTTATCCAAGAAGCTCAACAAAATCCAAGTAGGATAGACTCAAAGAGACTCATAGTTGGATGCATCAAAATCAAAATGTTGAAAGATAAAGACAAAAAATTTTGAAAGCACAAAGAGAGAAGCAATTCAACAGATACAAGGGATCCTTAATAAGATAAACAGCTGATTTCACGTTAGAAACCATGAAGGCCAGTGAGGCAGAATAGACAACGTGCTAAAAGAAAAAACCTGTCAACCAAAAATTCTATACCTGGCAAAACTATCCTTTAAAAATGAAGGATAAATTAAGACACATCCAGATAAACGGAAATGGAGAGAGTTTGTCTCTCTAACAGGCCTGCCTTATAAGAGAGACTAAAGGAAGTACTGCAGGCTGAAATGAAAAGGCGTAAGATAGTAATCTGAATTAACATCAAGAAATAAAGAGCACTGGTAAAAGTAATTACATAGCTAAATACAAAAGACAGTATAAATTTATGTTTTGTTTGTAACTCCTTGTTTTTTCTATCTGATTTAAAGGACAACTGCATAAAGCAATAATTATAAATCTATGTTGATGGGAATAAAGTGTATAAAGATGTAATTTGTGACAATAACAACATCAGGAAAGGGAGAATGGAACAACACAGGAGCAATGTTTCAGTATACTATTGAAATTAAGTTGGTATTACTCCAAACAGATTGTTGTAAGTGGAGATATTAATGGTAATCCCCAGGGCGACCACCAAAAATAAAAAAAAAAATATATAGTAAATGAAATAAGAGAACTAAAATGGTACACTATAAAATATTTAACATAAAAGAAGGCGGCAGTGAAAGAATAAAGGGATAAAAAAGACATTCTGTATAGAAAAGAAATAACACAATAGCACACAAATCCTACTTTATTAATTACATTAAATATAAACAAGGTAACCTTTCTAATTAAAATAGATTGGAATAATAGATTAAAAAACATGATCCAACTATATGCTGTCTACAGGAGACTCACTTCAGATTCAAAGGCACACATAGGCTGAGAGTAAAAGGATGCAAAAGATATACAATGCAAACAGCAACAAGAAGAGAGCCAGAGTGGCTATACTAATATCAGACAAAACAGACTTTAAGACAAAAATTATTACTAAAGACAAAGGACACTTTATAGTGATAAAAGATCCATCAATCCGGAAGACATCACAATTATAAATATATTTGAACCTAGCAATAAAGCCTCCAAATACACGAAGCAAACTGAGGTCTCTGAGGGGAGCAGAGGAGAAGGCAGCTCTGTCCTAAATATTTTATTCTCATGACCCATTATGTGCTTAATATCCTACCACTAGGGACTCACTCCTGTGGGTTAAGGTTTGCCTCCCTTAGAATTCTTTGTTAAGTTATAAATATGGCCCCAGAGCCACCATTTCTATTAATACTTTAGCCGCAATTGGTGTAAGCTCCTTTGGAGCAGTGACTGCTAGTGACGGAGACAAAGGGTTGAGCCATTTTCGATAGAGTGTATAGGTATGACCTGGACTGGCCCAGGAGGGGAGCAGAGAGGAGGGGAGTCCAACCACCGAGTGGAGGTACGAAGAATAGAGAAGGAGTATGGGATGAGGACAGGGGAGGGAATCACAGGGGAACAGAAAAGACCCCAAAGAGACTGTGAAGGGAAACAAATGCTAGACAAGGAGCAAAGCAACTGGGGCAGGGCTTGGGTGACAGGGTTCCTGATTTGGCAGCTCAGGGACGAGGGCAGCAGCAGGCCCCAGAAGCAGCAGAAGGAGTCAGAGCAGGGGAGCAAGTGTGGGGCCAGGGACGGCAATTAGACAGACACTCACAGGGAATACCCAGGAGCTGGCAGCAGGTCTGAGCTGCTGTCCGAGTCCTGGAGAACCACAGAGCGGGAGGGAGAGTGGATGGGGGACGGAGATCCAGCAACGGGCGCTGGAAGGAAGTAGGCGCTGATAAGGAAACCAGGACAAAGGACAGCAAGGCCAAGAGGCAAAGCCAGAAATGAGCTCAGAACGCAGGCAAACGGGCTGGACAGGCAGATGTGCAAACCAGGTCGTGTTTGTCAAGGTGCCCAGTTCAGAGAAGACGCTTAGTAGATGTTAGTTGTTTCTAAATATGAAACTGAAACAAGGCAAGTGGCCTGGACAGCAACTCAATGTCAACAACAAAAATGACCCCTACTTATTAACACCTCTTACGGGCTGGCACTGCGCTAAGTGCTTTGTCTACATTGCCCCATTTGATACTTACAACGTCCCCCTGAGGTGACATCGAAACCTCCACTCTATAGGTGAATGTGACACCTGGTTAAGTGACTTGCTCAAGGTCTTCACAGCAACGTCAACAGGACAGAGCCAGTTTCTGTGCCGGCTCGGTGCCAGGGTGACAGCCACTGGGGAGGCTCTGATCAACATGGTGGCTTAAAAGGAAGAGGAGGAGCCCTCAGCAGTCCCCACCCTCTATTTTTTTTTTTTTTTTTGAGACAGAGTCTCACTTTGTTGCCCGGGCTAGAGTGAGTGCCATGGCGTCAGCCTAGCTCACAGCAACCTCAAACTCCTGGGCTCAAGCGATCCTCTTGCCTCAGCCTCCCGAGTAGCTGGGACTACAGACATGCACCACCATGCCCGGCTAATTTTTTCTACATATTTTTAGCTGTCCAATTAATTTCTTTCTATTTTTGGTAGAGACAGGGTCTCACTCTTGCTCAGGCTGGTCTCGAACTCCTGATCTCAAACAATCCGCCCGCCTCAGCCTCCCAGAGTGCTAGGATAACAGGCGTGAGCCACCGCGCCCGGCCCTCTACTCTTTTTTAAAGCGGGGTTGGAGAAGGGAGCAGCAGAGGCCCAAAGGCCCTCCCTGGCCCTCTCTCTCTGCCTGGCCCTGTGCAGAATAAGGGGACATACCCGCATGCCAGAAGCCAGGCACCGGGCTCATCCCACCCTGTCCTAAACCGTGCATGCCCTATTTCCAGGTGGAAAATGCAGCCCTAGGCCAGGGACAAGGTGGGATTAGGGAGCCCCAGGGATGGGCAATTGCCATCTCCATTTTTTTGTCAGAAGCAGGAGAGCTGGTTTACTTTTTGCATGGCCGTCCCTACCTCCCTCCTTGGAGACTGGAGGGCCACTCTGGGTGACCTGCATATCCCCTCTTCCTGCCACATCCTACTAATGAGACCGCCACTGCTGTGTTTCCCTAGGGGAAAGGAGTTTCCTGTGAGTCCTCCTTCACCTTGGACGGGGGTCCAGGGCCAGCCTCCGTTAGCAAGTGAGTGCGTCCTCATAAGCATATGAGGAGGAGGAGCCGAGGCACCAAGTAGCCCACCCCTTCACTCTACTGAGGTGGAAGACCAGGCGGGAGCTGGCTTGCCAAGGTCACTGCATGCCTCCTGGTGCCCAGTCCTCATTGCTGTTCAGCACCCTCCATGGGCCCCCGGTCCCTGCAGGCGCTGGATGAGAGAGAGAAGTCTGCACAGGAGGCGGGCACTTGCCTGTCTTGGGGGCTCTGGCTCTTTTTAAGGTCTGGGGGGAGGAAACTCCTGGGGACTCTGGCCAGTGGCTTCTCCCCTGTCGTTTGGCGATGTGTGGGTTGTCCTCAGGCATCTTCTTGGAGGCCAGTGGACACTTTCTGCCCCTCTCCCTCTCTGCGGACCCCACTTTCCTGTGGGGGGCTGGGTCTGCAGCCCTAGAATTTGTAGTTAGCAGTGATCTTTGTGGTATTTTCATCCACTTTCCCTCCCACGGCAAGAATGGTGATGGTGGAGCTGCGGGGCACTCGCCGCCCCCGGCTGCAGGAGTCCCCGGGGCCGAGATCCTCCCCCCAGGTGCCTGTGCTGGGGCAGCCCTGGTGCCGGGGCGGGGGGGGTTTTCGGTTCCTTTTGCGGCGGGCCGGGGCCTTCCGGGCCCGGTTTTTTTTTTTAAATACTGTCTTCTGGAATAAAGTAAAATAAAGTAAAATGAAGTCAGTAACTGTGGACCTCGTGTCGGGCCTCACTGCCTGCATGTCAATCTACCCCGTTAATCATCATGTATGATTTTCGAAGAGCTATTTTGAGAAACATTTAGAAAATGGCTTTTATATAGCTATATATACCTTACTTATACCCTCCAGAAATGGCCGCTCTGTTTAGCAGCAGATGGTTTTTTCCACCAGTTTTCTTTTCATCTCTCAGTCAAAGTTAAGTAGGAAGTAAGCCTCGCCCTCACCCCAGGCGCACATTTGTCACCCACGGTCCGCCCTGGAGTCTGGGTTGGAGGTGGGGTGAGGAAGAGAGGCTGCGTGTGGCGGAGGGCCGGGGGGCAGACGCTGGCTGCCGAGAGGGCGCACCAACGCTGGCGTTGGGAGGGCAGAGTAGGATGTGGATGGCCTGGTTAGCTTCACGCAACGACTCAGGGGTCTCCCGGTCCGTGAAACGTGTATCAGGAGCATCCCTTTGGCCTTCGGAGAACGGAGCAAAGCCAGACAAACCACCCCGGCATCACCTGAGTGGTGTGTCTTTGGCCTGCAGGGAGCAGCAAGTCTGGCCTGCACGGTTGCCATGGCAACGGCAGTGCCGAGGCTCCTAAGGGCAAGGGGAGGAGAAGGGAGGTGGAGAAGGCACATGGTGGTGTTTCTGGAAAAATCCATCTGTTTCTTTCCCCAGGAAACCAAGCTGGAGAAAAAACAATACAAAAGGGCTGGGCATCTGGGGTCTAGAGAGAGGAGGGGAGACAAGACTCCAGGGTGCTCCGAGAGTGGCTCTGCCTACGGGATGTGCTTCCCTTCCTTTTGGGGGAGGTGAGTGACTGACAAGGACAAAGGTCTGGGGGGGCCCTGGGGGGTGGCGTCCACGCAGGAGCCTGTGTGCAGGTCATCCTGTGACCTCAGGCTTAGGTGGGGACAGTCCTCGGAGGCCTGCTGTCAGCCACAGCAGGATTTCTTCTTGGCAGGGTGGCCGACCTGGAGGGTATCCTTCCTCGCTGTGTCTTCTTGCTCCTTGAGAAACCTGGCGGAGTGGAAGGGATGATAACGGTAGTGGAGAAGTTGCGAGACCGGGAGCTGGCCACCTGGGCCAGCCACCCTCAGCTTGCAATATCTGGGCAATATGGAGAGAAAGCAACCTCACCAAGGCATCGAGAGAGTACTGAACATCTCCCCCTGGGCAGGATGGGTGCGTGACTATGATTGTAAAGCCAGAGAGCTTAGTCGGCATGGATCCTTCCAGACACCTCCTCCAGGAAGCCTCCCCTGATCCTCTGGGTTGGCCTAAGTGCCCCTGACACACTCTGACCCTTCCTCTGTCATAACCCCATCGCCCAGCGTCATAACGCATCGCTTCCTTGGCTGTCACCTTTGTCAGAGAATGAGCTGCTTGAAGACAGAGACTGTGTCTTTTGTCTCTGTGCCTCTGCGGCCTATTGCAGTAACTGGCACACAGGAGAGCTCCGAAATGTATCGGTCAACTCTACAGAAGGCTGCGCCATGTGGCCACGGCCCCAGACTAAATGCAGGAGTGAGGGATACAAGCACGGCAAGCCCCGCATCTCTGCCTTGCACTTCCAGAGTGCTGTCACCTCAGGCCTCCCCTTTCGCTCTCACAGCCGCCTGTGAGTGGGCGGGGAAGGAAGGTGTAACTGATGTTCCTGCCTTACCCACAAAGTGCAGAGGGGCAGGGTGACTTGCCCAGGGAGTCAGTGGCAGAGAAAAGCCTAGAACTTTTCCTCCTGGTATCCCACAACCTCTCTAATGCATAGAGGAGTTGTTCTGGGTTCTTAATCACTCAAATAAAAATATTTAAATGCCCCAGAACAAGTGCTGAGCACAAACCGAGCACTGTTCAGTATTTGCTGGCTGGCTGGATGGATGGAATGAAATGAATCCCTAAGTACTGAAAACGCTTCCCAGTGTGGTTTTGTATTCTTAATTTCTGGTGCGGGCAGAGTCTTAAAGAGTCAGTCTGTTCATGTGACTGGTCCCTTCACACATTACCTCGGTCACCTCTGGCTGATCCCCCTCCTTGCTCTGCTTCCTGCCCCCTCCCCCATCCATATTATAACCTCTCTTGCTCCCAGCTGGCTGCCAGCGAATCCCTGCTAAGACATTAGCCAGTGTCAGGGCCCCATGGTGGTCTCACCTGTCCCGGGAGGATTTGCATTTACAAAGAGAATCCCTGGGAAAGGGCCGCCTTGCCTTTACGACTCAGGAGAAGACTGAAGTGGGGTGACAGGCAGGGATGCTTTCTTTTTCATCATCACTGTGTTTCAGAAGGCCGCCCCTGACCACTGAAATCCCGTACCAAGGCCCAGGCCCCCCTGGCCTGCACTCAGGGTGCCGGGGGAAACAGACAGGGAGGAAGGGGGCCCAGAGGCGAGGTCTGGGCAGAGGGAAATGCAGGGCCTCCCCCGAGGCTGGCCCAGCTGGCCCAGGCAGTTACTTTACCTGGTCAGTGTGTCTCTTTACCTGGCTAGATGGAGCAGGGACTCTTTGGTGTTGTGACCGGAATAGGCGCTGCATTCATAGAAGATGAGATTGTTCTCCTGGAATCACAAGACAGAGGGAATACAACGAGGGCACTGGGGGAGCGAGGGGAATCGGGGGTGGCGGAGACCCTGTCTGCGTCTGCCTGCGGGCCCCTGGTCCTGCTGGTGGCCCTCCTCACTGTGCACAGCTGATTTCTGTCTGCGCGGGCCCCCTTACTGATGCCAGTTCTGTAACCACCTCCCAGGTGAGCGGTAACAGCTGTAAAACAACAAAGCCATACGCTATCTAGGTGCCGCTTTGTATTTCCTCAGATTACTCCTGAGGGCATAGGACCCAGAACTGAAGCCAGGGCTGCCTTCCAGCCTCCAGTTCTGGCCCCACCACCGCTGAGCTCCGGGGTCATTGGAATGTATCGTCTGACTCCTGAGTCTCAGGTTTTGTTCACCGATCCCACCCACAAAAAGCAAAAGAAAAGAGAATGGGATAGTATTAATAATAATATAGGTCTGCAATTCCTTAGTCAAAATCCAGATGTATTTCAGAATCCAGAATTTTAGAATTTTAGAAAGGCAATACATGTGTTACCATATATTATATAATACTCTCAGTGGGTTTAGGACAGCATCTTATGACCAAACATATTCATATTTCTTCAGTGAGACATTTAAATAGTCACTCAAAGTGAGGTAAAGACCATAAATAACCTCACATCATTTCTGGCCAGATGTTTCTGCCAGATATAATGCAAAAGACCTTTCCGTTTTCAGAGCTTGTTGGATTTTGGAACTGTGGACATGGAACTGTCCAGGGACCTTCCACAAAAGACACGGGCCCTTCTTGCTGCTTTTTCCTTGAATCTTACCATCTGTGCTCATTTCCCAGGCTCTGAGCTCACAAGCGGCTGTTTAGGGCCAGCACACTAAGAATCACGGAATCACAGGGCTGGTGGGCACCCGTCTTCCGAGACACATGGTTCCATGAAAACCGGACGCTGAGGCCACAAAGGAAGCCCAGGAGCCACTGTCTTGTTGCCCGATTGCCACAAGGGCTCGCTGACTCCATTCTTGGGCCAGAGGCTGATGCTTGTGTGAATGGCAGGTTTCCCAGAGCCTCTCCTGTGTTTATGCTGAGTTCAAGGCTTGCAGGCTCACTCTTGACAGAAAGGATAATTCTCGAACAGAGTGGTCCAAGGAAGGACACACCACCTTGCAGATAGTGAGTTCTTCATCCCCGAGGGGGACCAAGTGAATATAGCTGGTGGGATCCGAGTGTCAGAGGGGGATTGAAATAAATAACCTCTCTCCATCTTAGAATTTATAATTCTGGGTTCCAAGGAAGAGAGTTTAGGATAATCCCCTGTCCCCTAGTGGTCTCTCACCACCTCCATCTTGCAATCTGTGACTGTCTATGGAAAGCCATGCACAGGAACTGGGCCGTCCCGTGATGCCCAGACACCCACCTTGCCCGGCTGCTTCCTCCCCAAGCAGCTTCCTGAGAAGGTTCCCACCCGGCTCGGGGCACACACCCGCTGCCCTGGGGGCTCCCTCCTCCCAAGTGGTGTAGATGCTTCCTCTTTACCTTGGCGAGCTGCTCTCCAAGGCCCCGAGGGACTTCCCGCTCCTTCTCATTGTCAAGCTTATTGCCCAGCAGAAGAACGGGAACCTGGTCTCCCACAGCTTCCTGCAGAACAGATAGTCCTCAGCTGAGAGAGCATCCACGCGGGAGCCCCGAGGGCAGGCGTACAGTGACGGCTGGACAGATGCCACCGGGCCTGAGAATCCCCTGCTGCCACAACAGGCCGGGCCGTAAATGAGTTACCCCAAAAGCTGAAAGGGACAGCCACCTTCTCTGGGAGCCTCCATTCACCATGCTTCTGCAAAGTGCCAGAGGCCTGCCACTCGGTGTCTCCCAGTCCCCTCTGTGCCATGACTGCCCGCCCTCACCACTGTCCTGGGATGGAACGGCAGGTCCCCAGGTGCTGGGGAGCAGGTAGCAGGAGGAGGGCACAGTCGACACTGAGGGACCGGCGTCCTTCAGGGCTCACAGCACCCTGAGGGCACTCCTAAGTGAGCACATTTGATCTGATGAACCGAGGGTGTTGACGCAACATGCTTCGGAGCTGCACTGGAGGCTGCTTTGATTAGAAGCGGCATCTCTAGAGGCCTCATGTCGGTGCAGAAGCTCCCTGCAGGTTGGAGCCAAATCTGCTTCCTTATCCTGAGCCCACAGTGCTCTGTGGTGCTTGCTATGTGCCTCGTCAGAGCTGGGCACACAGACCCCTGTCACTGGGTGCTTTGGCCCTGGAGAAAGCCCCGTGTGAGGCAGCACCATGTGGCCACAGCTGCTGTGCTTTTCGGGCCAACAGTCAAAGGCTCGTTCAAGGCGCCACCCTATTGATTCCTCCAGTGGCTGTGGCACATCAGCCAGGGGCCACGCCGGGTCTCCGTCCCTCCCCTGTGAAGGGGCACCACATAGCGCCTCCCTCGAGGGTGAACAGAGGCCCCAGGCGCAGCTATTCAGCCCGTAAATATGCAAATGCTCACATGTAAGAAGGCTTTTATTTTCACTTTTTGAAATATTTAATTAGGGGCTTTTAACCATAATTTGGTAACAAACAGTTATTCGCTGTAGCTAAATGTTTTACTAGGCAGAGGGGCTGCGGGATAACGGGAGCTAATGAGCGGTTGTGGTTTTGCCAGCGCTGCAGCTGCTGCACCTCCGCGTGTCAAACGTCTAAGGTCCCCCTCGCAGCAGCGCCTGCTTTAAGTTCGGATGAAATTACGTTTGAAATGAAGCCTCCATGCTTCCTTAATCCGCACATTCGTTTTTATTGCAGTTCAATAGAGGAAAAAATTCTCATTTACTAAATGAGAAAGTTAAGGCTTAGAGACTCCAAAAGAACATTCCACAACAAAGGCACCGAATTATGAGGACTCTTTAGTATACGCGTCCACGGTTCTCTGATCTTTTTCTCTCAATTCTTATTTCCAATGAAATCTCTGCTACCTAGCATCTTATTAACTAGAACTCTCTAAAAATGGTGTCCACCAGTAAGACAGCGATTCATGTTCGTGCTAATGGCTTGCAGGCACTACGGGATCTCACAGTGTCTTCGACCCACCAGAAATGGAGCAAACTCAGGACGCCAGGCGACGCGCTAACGGACTGCGTCGCCCTCCAGTTACTTGACCGTGAGAGACGCAGGGAAGGCACAGACAGGGCTCCACGGCTCCGTCGGCCACAGCCTCGGCTAACGGGAACACCCTTCTCTGCGCCGCGCCGAATACTTGCGCGAAGAGTTAGTCACAGAAAAGGAAGAAAAGAGGAGGAAGCAGGGAAGCGGGCCAAACAGCTTGCTGTGTAGAGCACAGGAGAGGGAGATATTTGTAGATTTATGTGTGAGGAATGACTAAGGCTTGTGGGATTTCTTGACATGGAAACTCTGAAAATATGAGCATCAGACTTGAAATCCCAGAGCAGAATCCTAACCTGGATTCTGTTGTTGTTTGGAACGGCGATGGCTTCGGTTTCCTCACTCGCAAAGGGGGTGCGGGGGACTGAACGATCGAACAGGACGAGCTAGGAAGTGAGTCATAAGCCCAACATCTGGGCGCTGTGTGCCGCAAACAGCAGTGCTGCCGCTGGGGAAAAGAAAGGGCAGCCCTCTTCTTTCTTTTTTTTAAAAAAGCAATTCCTGGATATACAAATAAAGGAGCTCAGAAGGCGCAGAAAAAAAGCCAAGCACCCAGCTGGGGCCGTGGTTTCTGGTTTTCGCATTGCTCCTCGCTCACACAGCCACTCTGGACAGCCCGCTTCCCTCGCGCGGGCCTGGCCTGCCGCTGCGAAAGGAGAATTAGGCCCATCTCCACAGATTTGGCAAAAAAAAAAAAAGAGAGAGAGAGAGAGAACACACATGAGGCCCAAGAGTGTGCTGTCGCGGGCAGGCAGTCTTTGTCACCCGGCCCAAGATCAGTCTCTGATGCTGGAGCGTGGGGAGGAGCTCGTGCTGGGGTAGGTATCTCCTGGTCCTTCCTGACTCTGACTCCAAAAGTCTTGAACCGTCTGCCTAAACCTGTTCCTTCCTCATACCTACCTAGGTTTTCAGCCTGTGTACTGCTTGGCACAAAGATGCTCATAAGTACCCACCATAGGAAGCAACACTTCCTTTTAAAAGTCCAAAGTGCACCTCCTTCAAGCCACTGGGGATGGGGTGAGCAAGTCACAGGTCCGCCCAGCCTCCCTTGATACTGTTAAAATCTCACAGGCATGACAGGTCAGGGTGAGGACATCTCAGCTCCCTAGCCGGGCACACAGTCTCTCTTTACAAGACGTGAGCTGTGCCCTGGCTCTGTCTCTGTCTCTCCGTGTGACTTGTCTGATCGTGGACAGTCTCCTTTCTATGTTTCTATTCCAAAGCCGGTTTCTGTTCTATGACCCTCTAACCGAGAACCCTCCCTGCGCCTTCAATTATCTTAGCCGCCTTTCTCTGAACTGGAGCTTGTTGGAAGACAGACTTGTTGAAATTCAAAAGATCACCCATCTCTGACTTTAAATAACAAGAGCTGTCAACTCGGAGCAGAGGATTGGCATTCAGCTCAGAACGCGCAGCTGTTGGGTTTGGTGGGTTGTGTGTGTGTTTTAATATCTATTTGCTGGGAGGCATGAAAAAGCACTTAGTTGGGATAGTGCTGCTGTTTCTCTGGAGCCAGAACAAAAAATTTCTCAGCACATTAAAGCATGCAGTTATGCTAAGAAAAAAATGACTGCAAAATTATATCTTGGGGGTTTCCATATTTATCCACCCCCTGGACTATGAGTCAAAACAAGATTTATTTGTGTAGTTCGTTTTAAACTGCCAGCACTTCAAGCTCAACTTGGAACGTGGGAAAAAAAATCAAACTGCTATTTTTCACTCCGTGCTGTACATTGTCACCAATGACAAAGATCACAGAAAGAGATTTCGATAGCAGCCCAGGGAGGGGGAGGGAAGTGGGCCAGGCCCCCTTGAGCTGAAGGACTGCTCTGTTTTGAGACAGAAGCAAGAAGGACTGGAAAAGAAATGAACCCCCGTTTTTCAGTAGCAGGTTCCAGTCATGGAGCATGGGGCAAGAGACAGCACAGCGCGGTGGCAAAGCCCTAGATTCCAGATCTGGCTGGTTACTGACAAGCTGTGGGTTCCTTCAGACAAGTCACTTCCTCTTTTTAGGTCTTAGTTTTTCTTACCTATAAAACAAAAGGTCGCATTAGATTAATCTCCAAGTTTTTTCCACCCAGAGACAGTTCCTTCACTTTCTTGACTTACAGGCCTAACAACACGGTGCTATCAGAATGACAAAAGGATCTAAACAAGGAGTGCAGCACCCCAGGACTGTAGACACTGGGGACCAACAACCTGGATCTGGGGGAAATGCCGGCCCGTACAGGCTTGTACCAGAGCTATTTTCTCTGCCTGACACAGGCCCCAAAGTCTTACGATGTTCAGTGTGCCCGTGGTCAAACATGGAGCCTTTAGGGCCTGACTGGTTTCTTCTCCACACTGGAATGGTTAAACCAGTTCCACCCAATGGGTGTGCCAAGGAAGTGGGGGCGGGGGGCTGGGAGTGCTGAGCTGGCAGGAATGACTAACTTTGGTGACCTCCCATGCGGTACACAGGAGAATCAGCACAGAGTGAGCGTGGCCCAGCGTGGGCCTCTTCTGCAGAAGGCCTGCGGGTGACGTGAAGTTGCCCAGCTGGGGAGGGGTAGGAGAGCAGTGGTGGCAGCAGGACCTTCCCAGCGCATCAAGCATGGTGGCTGTTCTCTTGCACCAAAGGGTTTTGGTTCCTTCTGAGCTAGAAGGATCCCCCAGGGTCCTCCCTCCATACCCACTCCTGCCCCACCCTGGCCCCGCTGGGAGAGTCAAATGTCGTACACTGTGGAATTGGGGGGCCGGGAGGAGCCTTTCAGAGCATTGGCTCTCTCCCTCATTGAACGACTGGCCAAAGGCTCACTGCCAGTGGCCGGGCTGGGATGGCAAGAACTCCTGTTCAGGGAGCTCCACTACCTCCCCCAAGCACGTGCTCCTGTCCCACACAACCTCTTCCAAGAGTCCGCCCTTCCCACGTACGGCACGTACGCAGTGGAAGCCCTTTTGTCTTGTGTTGCTTTTTAGGTGGGGGGAGGAAGGGCCCTGAGAGCGGCTGGCCACCGTGCACTTGATGCAAAGGCTCCAGAACCTTGAAGACCGTTACGAAAGCCCCTCCACCCTCCGTTCCAGGTGAGGGAGCTGGTAAAGTGCTCAGAGCTCTTTGGAAAAATAAGGCGCTCCACAAATATAAAGCACTTATTATTTTCAGTTCCCCTCAGATCAAATTAGGTGTCAAGTTTTAATCTATCACCTGACACCGCTGATTGCTGGTTGCCAAGGCAGAGTGACTTAGCTTTTCGAGAATCGGAGAATGATTGCATTTATGATGCCACGGTTCCACACCTTCGACACACGCTCTGCCATTTGACACAGCCTCCTGCACGTGCTGCCGAAACCCTCTGCCACTGAATGGAACGCGTTTCCTGGGCTGTCACACCGAGTCCTGCCGAGTGCCTAGTGAGTGCTGGACATGCTGTCGGTGCTCAGTAAATTCTCCATGAAGGGTCACCAGCATCCCTGAAAATGACTCAGAGCCTTGCTACTGAAGGGGGGTCCCTGGACCGGCAGCATCAGTCTCCCCTGAGGACTTGTTAGAAACAGAATCAGCACCAGCCCAGACCTGTGGGGTCAGAGTCTACATGTAACAGGGCCCCCAGGAGGCTGCCACGTCTGTTAGAGTCCCAGAAGCATATATTAATATTTAGTCTGGGGACCATGGTGGCCGAGAATCAAAATCCCTGGGGAGCTGTTAAATTTTTTTTCCGGGTCTTGAATCAGTCTATCTGGGAGAGAAGACCCTGGCATCTGTTTTGTTTAAAAGCTCTACAGGTGATCTTGACATTCATCTAGGTTTAGAGTCCTCATTTGGAGTTTAACTGTATCTTCTGCTAAAATTGTAAAAAAGAGAAAAACTCAAACTACAAATTATATGGCAACACCGTCTGTACATAGACAATTGTGAGTTAACCATGTATGGATTTGCCGCCTCAGCCTGGTTTTCCGAGCCCATAGACGCACCAGGGCTTCCATGGGCGTCTTAGCAGCCACACGCTGACCATGCTTTTCAGCCCTGTCCCACAAAGGAACATTCTGGAGCGTGACCAAACGCATACTTCATGCTGCGGGGATGGCCTGCTGCAATTTCTTCACCTCTGCCACCAAATTCAACCTGACGTTGCCCCTCCTCTGCTAGATCCCGGGCTGTCTGTGCAAAACAGGAGCCTTAGAAACTGCACTCCCTAATGACGGCAGGGAGCGTGGTTCCGCAGCTTTGTCTCCATCCATTCCCATTAATCCCAGACCACTTGGACTGCCTCTGCCCAGCTCTGGTATATACCACGATTTGGATATTTGGGGGCAATTAAATGTCTGTGGCAGGGGAAAACACAGGTGACCCTGGAGAAGTTAGGGCTTCAATTTCTCCACCTTTGAATGAGATGGCTGTACTAGATGGGTGAGTTTCAAAGGGAAACCCTTTTGTCCAACAAAATTGTGCCTGGACCTCCAATCTACAAGCTGAACCGAGCAGGGCAGCTCTGGCTGAGACAGGGGTGAGGGGCCCAGGACTGTGACTACTAAACCTGCCCGGCCTGCCCCAGTCTCTGGGGCATGTGAATCTGGTTCCAGGCTCCAAGAAAGGAAGTCCGGAAACCACTGGATTAGGCAATCCCTACAGTTTCTCCTGGCCTTGACCTCTGTGAGGAAGATAAACTTGCTGCTGCTACAATAGAAAGGAAATAAAAAAAAAAGTCATGCCATGAATTGCAAAATTTAAATAGGAATCACGCTATTCGCTTCTATTACCAGCTCAGTGTACGGACAATCCACTACCTTTCAACACTTGTATTTTCTCACTTGTAAGTGTTTTAGGCGAGTCAATTTTGTGTACTAATTTGTATTAAGCAACTTTCTGAGAAACCCTTGAATCTGGCTTCCATACTGTTCCTTGTTTTTCTTGGTGACTATATAGACACGGATTGACAGTGGAGAAAGCCGGTGGTCTAGGTGGTAAAACCGTAAGAGAAATAGATTTCGGGGGGTGAGATCACAGATCTTAGGCAAAAGGGAGGAGGAAATTAACAGCTCTAGTGTCCTGCAACATGGTACCATCCACAGCACCAGGGCACCGAGGCACCAAGGCAAAGACGCAGCTTCTGTTGGGGGGCACAGCGCCCAGCAGGGCATGCAGGCCAGGACGCACGTGATCCACACCAGCGTGGTAAGGAAGGGACGGGGACGCAAGGTCTCCTGGGCTCGGAGCAGGGAGTTGAACACAAGCTCCACAGAGGCAGGAACCTCGTCTCTTCTGTTCACCCCCAGAACCCCCAGGTCCTGGGATAGCGCCTGGCGGTGTTTTGAAGAAATATGTGAACAAATGATGAGTCCTGTTGGCAGAGGGGTTGGAACATCCCACTCGACTGCTCTGTGGGAGAATCAGCCCAGGCCCTGTCCAAGCAGCAAGTGGCCTGTCCACACTGCCCTTGGCCTTGAGAAGCCTGCACTGGCGCAGGAGAACAGGCAGATGGTCAGAAGTAAAAAGGGCACACAGAGCAACACACTGCGAGTAGGGGTCAAGAAAGGAGGGTCTTACAGATAATTCCGAAGGCAAAGGGAACACAGCTGCTCTCCGGCCCTGCCGAGGCCTTGGTTCTGGGTGAGCCTGGAGCCCTCGCATTACGGATCGAGCCCTCCTGGTGCGAAGGGCTGTGACAGAAACCCCAAACACTGCATGTGTGGCTCCCAGGCAGGGCACAGCTGGCCCACAGGAGCCAGGCAGCCGCGCAGGCAGGGAGGTGGTGGTGAGAATGAGGGAAGAATTCCGTCGTGTCTCAATTTAGACACTGATTTCTCAGGGGAACCTTCCTTGACGCGCCATTCGGCGCCTTCTCCCCCAGTCCAATCCCACTCACTGCACACAGTCGTGACACAATTACTGGTGTCATCTGTATTTCTTGTGTCCCCTCTTTCCACGAGGGCAGGGACAGTGTCTGTCTTGTTCACTTCTGGATGCCCAGGAACCAGCCCGGTACTGCGAACGTGTACAGACAGACAGACAGACGCCTGGATGGGGCTGTTTGGAGAAGGAGAGTTCTGAATCAGGTGTTGAGAGTGCAGAGGCTGGCGGGGGACGGGCAGAGAATGGGGAAGCCACGGCTGGGCAAAAGTTTCCCGGGAAGGTCACCAACTCACCTCCACGCTGCTCAGCCACTGCCGCACTGACAGGAACGACTGCTTGGCTGTGAGGTCGTACATGACGATGACGCCGTCCACCTTTCTGAAGAACTGCTGGGTGATGCAACGATACCTGCCGCGGAAGGGCCACGGGTCAGGGGCGCACGGCCTTCCCTCTGGGGCCCAGGCCTCCAGGGGCAGCGCCTCACCTCTCCTGCCCAGCCGTGTCCCACAGCTGCAGGGCCACCTGAGAGTCGTCCACGTTCACCGTCTTCACGTGGTAATCGATGCCTGCAAGGGGGACAGGCCTGTTGGGCTGCTCTGGGCCAGAGGCACCTCACTTCTAAGTCAGGAAATGGTGCTTCCAACGCGTCTGGAATCACGTCGGGCCCAGGCTGACAGCCCTCCCCGTGCAGCTCCTGGGAGGGAATGTGGGGACGCGGACAGAGCACTGGACAGGGAGGCACCTGACCTGAGTCCCGATCCCATCTCTGCCGTTGACTGGCTGTGGGACCTTGATCAAATCATTTAGCCTCTCCGAGCCGCAGGCTCTTCACTGCAAGGTCATCAGTGCCTACACCACACTATGCGAGGCGTGCTGTGTGAGGATCGAGTCAGATCACATACGTAAAAGCAGCACGCCAATGCACAGGTGACTGCTGTTACTCATGAATTCACTCCTCATCGGGAAGATGGAGGAGGAGGAGGAGAGACTGTCCCCAAATTTATTTCCTTCCTTCCTTCCTTCCTTCTCTCCCTCACTCTTTCCTTCTTTTCTTCCTTCCTTCCTTCGTTTTTCTTTCTCTGTCTTTCTTTTTCTTTCTTCTTTTTTTGCCTAAAATCCTTTCAAAGTGTCCCTAATAAAATTCAGATGTCCTGGGGGGATGGGTCATACTTTAAGACCTCCTCAGCCAATTCAAAGGCATGTAGAGCAGGAGGCGGGGAGGGGCTGGCAGCAGAGGAAGGGACAGAAGAGGAGGGGGAGGGAGGGAATCAAAGGCCAGGTTTGCCCTTGAGATGGGTTTAGAGCTCCTAATCCCCCCACTGGGCTGTTCAGTCATCTCTGCAGGGGTATGACCCTACCCGGGCTCAGCAACCCCAGAGAGAGGAAACAGTGAAATGCACTCTGTACCCCATAGCGGCCCTCAGAGATAGGGACCTTAATACAGGTGTTTTGATACAGACATTCCTTTCTTGGCCATCCTGTAAGAATGTTCGCAAATGCATAAAGGTGATCAAAAATCCTCCCTCCTTAAGGTACTGGGTCTTAGAACTTTAGGGCATCTCCTCCAAGCTTCAGAAAGGCCTCTGGGGTCCTTATCCCGGAGGGCTCAGGACAGAAAACAGCACCAGTAGCTTGGACAGACAGAGACAGAGGAGATCAAACATAACAAGGAGGCAGAGAACGGAAAAGGTCATCTCAGCCACTGTCGCCAGGCAAAGGCTAGTGCATTAAGGACCTGTGAGTGGAGGAGAGGTGGGAGGATCATCCCCTTCCAGAATGTCAAGACCAGCGGGGAGTCTAGAGCCCTTTGCTTCACAGCCAGGGACAGAGAGAGGCGTGGATCTGTCTGGGCTGAGACAGCGTGGTCTCTCCCATTAGTAGACTGCTTTACATTTCCAGTGTTTCCAGGTGCCGTGGCTCCATCTGCGGTGTCCCCCTGACATCCACACGAGAGTTACTGCACACACACATGCGTGCACACACGCACACACACAAACACGCACCGCTGAGAGATGAGGAAGCAGGAGTTGACAGTGGTTGTGCCTTGCCCAAGCGGTCAGCAGCCGTGGGGCGCTGCGAAGCCAGCTCTGAGGCCCCCCGATCCCGTCACAGCAGCACATCGGGCACAGGACACCGTGGCTTTGTTTAACCTGAAAGTCGGGGCTCAGTGCTCCCAGCTACACAGGTTACGATGGCTGGGAGCCGAATCCAAGGGTGTTTCCTTCCTCGCTAAAAGCGGAGGGGCTGCCTGCTTTCTTAGCAACACAGGAGAAAGCCCAGCGTGGGCAATGCCCTCAGGGCCAGATGTGCAGAGGGCAGAGGAGTGCTGGAAACATGCATCTGTGCCGGGACACACCGGCTGAGACTTGCTGATGGGCACGCGGAGTACTTCTCTGTGCGTCTCGGCCAGGCCCTGGGGGCTGGGCGTGAGGACACCAGGAGGATGCGGGTGGTGAGCGGGGAGGCGGCACGTGGAAATGTGAGGTCAGGAACGCCAGGGTCCAACAGACACAGCAACACAGAGTGACGTGGGACCAGAGGCCTGGATGGGACTGATTTAAGACCACGGCCAGTTCTAACCTCCCAGGGGTCAGGAGGCTGCTATTCTGTGTTCCTGTCGCAGCTCTGCCACCGACCAGCAGTGCGACCTTGGTGGCACTACTCATTTTGAGGGGTTCACTTTCTTCGTCTGTGGACTGAGGTGAGAAGGTTTCAGGGGGCTGAGCTGGGTGCTCCTGCTCTTTAAGTTCCGCCGTAGCATCCACAGATCACATCCAGGTGACCCTCAGCTTGCAACCGAAATGTTCTCGAATGACGGCCGAAGTCAGGAGCCACTGGGGAGTGGGCTGGGGCCATGGTGTGGCTTAGAGCTGGGCTGCTGGCCCCCAGGAAGGTGACATTAACCTTTCCCAAGAAGACAGGCCCAAGCTGTCACAAAACAGGAGGGATGTGGGGCAGGGAGTGCTAGCAAGTTGTCACAGAGAAATGTGCTCTAGGGATCTCTCTGCAGAGATGAGGAGTAGGATAGAAATCAGACTAGTGGTCAAGAAAGGACAGAGGCCATTCTGTTGGGGACAGCCTTTGAAAGAGACACTTGGGTTCTGCCTGTGGTTTAAAGCGGTGGGGGGGGGGGGTTTGAACCAATGTGCAGCAGTGAAAAGAGCACTGGACTTGGAGTCCTGGGTTCTAGAGAACTTTAGTTAACTCTAAAAACCAGTCTGATTAAAGACCTCAATTTTCTCACTTACAAAACAAGAGACTATTACACTTACAAAATGAAATAGACTATTTCTGAGGTTCCTCCCAGCTCTAGTGTTCTACAAAAACCATCATTTGACGTTTGCGGGATGCCCGTAGAACCCAGGCACCTGCTCCTGGAGGAGCAGGCCGGGTCATAGGGAGTGGAGGCAGGATGCCCGGGCCACACGGCTGCGGTGCAGCAACTCGCTTACACACAAGCCAAGGGCCAGCCAGACCGTGCTTGCGTGAGGCAGTGGGAGCCAGGAAGTCAGTGAGTCCCCTCTGGTGATGGAGCTGAGCCTTAGAGAACAGTCGAAGCCCTGTCACTGGATGGGGCAGTGGCTGCTGCCCTTGACAGGGAGCTGGCCAGAGCCCTGTTGTGGGGTTGGACTGCTTTGGTCTTAGGAGCTGTGACTCTGCGGCTGTTACATCTCTTTAGGGGGTGACTTGCAGGTGGCTGGAGCACATCTGCTTACTGACATGTGTCCCAGAGCAAGGCCAGTTGCGTGGCCGGGCAACTAATTTGAGCTGCTGCTCCAGCATGTGCTGAGCAGTGTGATGAACAGCATCCTGATTTGGAAACTTTGATTTTTTTCCTCCTTCCTAAATTGTAGGTGTTTCCATAATTGGTCTCCTGGGAAGTGCAGATTAGTCTGATTTTCTGTCTTTCGGAGCCTTGCATCTCAGGGGCACAAACTGGAAATGCAAACAGACCCTGATTTCATTGTCAGGAGAGGCACGCCACATGCACACTGCTCGGGGAGACGTCCCTTTGTGGGCCTGAGGTCTGGTTGTCCCTCCCACTGCCTCCAACAGGCCTGTGCTAGAGCCATGACTGGGGCCTCCCCCAGGGAATGCCCTGCAGGGAAGCGAGTCTCCCTCCCGCCCGCCCACTACTGCCTCCTGAGCCGCTCAGCACACTCAGCTCACTCTCAGCTGCCGCTGGCTCAAGCCGCACAGGGCCAGGCTCTTCTGGGCTTGGTTCGTAGGCTCTGTCCTTCCCATCGGGACCCATTTTCTTGTCTTGGGATCTTGGGATGCTCTCAGTCTCTGGGTGGAGTGGGGAGGATGTTCCAGATGTGGTAACAGTAGAGGAAAAGGCCTGGCGGTTAGGATGGGACACAAGCATGTGGGGAGAGATGCATCCGTGGTCGAAATGTTGGAAGGGCCAGTTTAGCATAAGAGAAAGAAAATGGAGGCCAGTGCAGTGGCTCACGCCTGTAATCTTAGCACTCCGGGAGGCTGAGGCCTTGAGGTCAGGAGTTTGAGGTTCCTGTGAGCTAGGATGACACGACAGCACTCTAGCCCAGGTGACAGAGCAAGACTCTGTTTCAAAAAAAGAAAAGAAAAGGAAAGAAAATGGAGTTTCTCCAGGCAAGGCTCTGTGCACAGAAAGTTGTCCTATAGGACCAGCCTGGCAGACAGCCAAAGGTCGAAGATGGTCTGGTCAGAGACCTGGGTGTGGAAGCAGTCTTGGGGTACTCGGTTCAAATCTCTTATTTCTCAGAGGAGAGAAAACTGAAGCCCAAAGAGAGGTCACACAGCTGGTCAGTGGTGGGGCCAGGACTTGCAATGACTTACTGCTCCTCGCAGCCACTCCTGCCTGCACCCACCTCTGCCCACCTCCCGAGGCAGAGAAGGGCCCTCACCACCCACTGGGTGCTACATGCATACAACTCTGTGTTGTTAGGGATACCGTGGAATGGAATGGAAGGTGTATGTGGGTGGCGGGGGGACAGGTGTCAGCGCCAACCAGCTGATGCGAATGTGGACAAGCCCCTTAATCTCTCTGGGCTTCAGCTTCCTGATCCGTCTACTGGGTGGATAATAATACCCGTTCCCCAGGGGTATGAACATAGACCGAAACCATGACTATAAAAGCTCTTGGTAAATACTCAGATCCCATATTTTCAAGTACGGTTGACTCATCAGCTGGGCGAAATAGGCACTCACTATATTTACTTTTTGTTGCGTGATTCAACTTGGTTGAAGCAGAAAGGTCCATATGCCCTTGGGCCTTGTCACATATTCCAATGCAATGTGCCACTTTGGGTGAAGGGATCAAAGGCCTCTATTTAAATAAAATGTTCTCCAATAGCGGGAACACATCAAGCCGTGATCATCCATTAACAGCTGATCCTGATGAGCTTCCGTGACTAACTCCAGCTGTCACCCAGCAGGCCTGGGACAGGTAAGATTTGATGGGTAAAAGAAGCCATCCAGAGCACTGGCCCTGTCCCTCCCAGCCTACACACACACACACACACACACACACACACACACACAAACACACACACAGAGCGGGGAGGAAGGAAGCAGCAGGCCATCGGGAAGGCAGGGGGCTGTGGTGGCCGGGTGTGGCCTCAGGAGGAGTCCCAGTCATTTCCCGGGGAGCGCGAAGACCCAGGGCCCTGTGGACAGTGGGGATGAGTGGGCGGGCGGGGAATGCCTGGAGGGGAAAGGTGTCAAATCTGCCTTTGCCACCATTGGTTCCACACACCCAGGGCTGGGCTCACAAAGCAGTCGGGGGTCGATCGCGCGCAGAGTGAGCTCAGCAGCTAGCAGCTAGCGGCGTGTGGGGAGTGGGCTCTCCTGCCTCTCCCGGCCTCCCTGCTGAGTGTCCCTACCAGCCTGGGCCTCCTTACCACCTTCCCTTCCCATCTCAGGGACGAGGACTTACCCACAGTGGCTGCCATGCCCGGGGAGAACCGGTCCTCACAGAACCTCCGCAGGAAGGATGTCTTCCCCACCGCAGCATTGCCAACAAACACGATCTTGAAGAGCCGGTCGGGGGTGGAGGGAGAGCTCTCCTGTGGATGGCAGACAGTCTGGCAACCGCTGGGCATGGTCGCTAGCCCCTGCTCTGGCTACGGGAGGGTGGGGACAGGCCTCCAGACCAGCACCAGGGAGGCTGCGGCAGCCTTGGGATGTAGTTGGCGTGGCCAGGCGTGGAGGCTCCTTGTAGCACCCGCAGGAGCGGGGAGCGACAGCCACCCAGCCAGCATCTGTTGCCCACTTGCTGTGGCACAGCGATGAGGAGGCCGGGCTGGCCCTGGTGTGTGGCGGGGTGGAGGAGGCAGGCATGTGAACAAGGGCAGCTCCAAGTTCCAGGTGCTATGGGGCACGGAGGAGGAGTGGAGGATCCACAGTGGACTCTGAAGTGGGGCTTCAGGAGGAGGCAGGGACTCCCCACATGGGCAAGGACAGGCTGGGGCATTGAGTTGAGCAGGAGAGAATGAAAAAAGAAGACTTATCTGTACCCGGGGCAGAGACCTCCCCGGTTGGGACAGGGAGCCTCTTATTTCTACCCTATCACTGGAACCCTGGACGGGATGGAGGGAGCTCTCTGTCCCAGCCCGTCAGCTTCCATCTAGGCATCGCCATCTTCCTCGGGCCACCGAGGCGAGACGGTCTCCACTCAGTAAGTTGGGAAATGTCGTGACGCCACCACCGGGCGGAGCTTCCCCACCGGCCTGTCACTGCTGCTCTGTCTCCTGGGCCCACTGGGCTGGGACACTAATGCCCAGAGGAGAGTGAGCTCGCCTTAGGGCATGATGCAAGCCCCAGGCGGAGGAAGGCGCCCGTGCCGCACGGGGTCCTCTGCGCAGAGTGATCGTTCCTTCCAGCGAGCTGCCTGCTCCCCAGAATCTCGCCCGCAGGCCCAGCTCAGTGCTGCCTGCTCAAATGAGGAGGCTCTTTTGAATCTATTTAAAAGTGGATTTGGGGGAATTAGCTCCTCTCATTGAGCAAATACTATAATGGAGTGGCAGCTCATATTAGCAGTACTTGAGTTTCAGAGAAAAGCCATTAACAGCCTTTTGGGGAGAAATCAATTCCATGCAGTACCTAGTGGGGAATCCAAGGTCAACTACAGGAAATTAAACTAAATTTAAAAAAACCCAAGCCCACAATAAAAAACTCTGCCACCTGCCCCATTTTCTTTATTCAGCTAATGCACAGGGCAATGCACACGTCTCTGTACCTTCAATTGTCGTTGGTTTGAGACTAAAATTCAGTGCACCCATCTGTCATCCCCAGGCACAGGGAAGACGAAGCCCAGGATGGGAGGAGGCGGTCCTGGTGGCAGAGGTGGTGCCCGACCCTTAGCCCTTTGGCCACTGCCCTCTCCTAGAAGCAGAGCATTTCTTTTTGCAGGCAAAACCCCATAAACACATGATGGCTCAGCTCTGGTGGGACTCAGCTCCCAAGAGCAGCAAATTCTTATGTTCATGCGCTTGACCTGCTGTCCCCTCTGAAGGACAGCCCACCAGGTGTACAACAGTGACCCCCCTGTATTGTGGCCAGGGGCTGGAGAAGGAGATCTCTTCTCGTCCTCCCTCCCTACATACTTTGCTGTTTAAAAAATAAGCTTGTAAAAAGTAAAATATATGCTAATTTTTATAGTTAGGGAATACAGAAAAGTAGAGAGGAAAATAATTCTTCATAATCTACCCTACCACCCTGAAATGGTCACTTTTCATATCTTGATGTATTTCTTCCAGCCTTTTTTCTCTATAGATATGAGTGTATGTTTTGTTTATAGAGATTTGAGATATATATATATATAATTTTATTCTACTAAAGTAGGATATATATTATTAAATTATAAATATTTTTATGAGTCACTAAAGGTTTTTAAAAGTGTGATTTTTAACAGCTGTACAATGTTCTATTGAAATAATATACTACGATTTATGGCCCTATTGTTGGACCTTTTTTTTAACTGTTCTCTATTATAAATAGCTCTTGTATTCTTGAATTAAATCTTTGTCTGATTTTGGTTATTTTCTCAGGAAAAGTTGCTAAAAGTGGAAGTACTGGTTCAAAGAATATGGTATTTTGAAGTTCTGGATTCATGTTATCAAATGACTTTCCAGAAGAGTTGTACTAATTCATGCCTCTCCTGCCTTGCATGGGAGGGCCTGCCTCGACGTGGCCTTCGGGAGAGCAGACCCTCTCTGTGGGCTGTCGTGTGGCTGCTACAAATCATATTTGCTCTCTGCTGCAACTTCTGTCCCCGGGAGAACGGCAGCACAGCCCGTGGAGAGAGCACAGCAGTGAGAGAGATCAGCGAGCGGGCCGGGCCCGCGTCACTGTGGGGCCTGCGCCAGGCCTCTCCCCTCTGGGCCGCGACTTTCCCACCTGTCAACGGGAGAATAAATATCTGACGTGCTCTATCCAACAACTGTGAGGATGAAATGCCATAGCAGATGGGAATGCTCGGCCTTTTTCTTTACCCTGACCTCTTGCCACGTTCATATTCTAGAGGAGCATCCTGGGGTACGTGAGACCCCATCCGTGCCCCCTGCCAGCAGGTGCAGGTCTGTGCACTACAGGGGATGGTGAAGGGCGTGCAGGAGGGAGGGGCCACCACACTGGTGCTACCCAGTTCCCTACTTTTCCCTTGCACTAGGGACCTTCCAAGGAGTGGTATGCAGACATGACTCTTAATCCTGGCCCAAGAATGGTAACCTACACGGCGACGTCTGGGTACTGGCACACACACTAATACAGCCACTGGGTAAAGTTTAAGGTGGCAACGGCTCAGTTCTCGATGGCTCCCACAATGTGCCTGGAGGAGCCTCTGTCACGTTGCTATGGACATTCTGAAGCTGTTTTAGAGCGCTAAGTGGAGGATGGGGGCTCGAGGACACTATGCCAAGGCCTGGGTCACACACAAGGTGGCAGCATCATTACCATGAGCCAAGGGCAGAACTGGGTAGGAAGACCTGGTGGGGGGGTGCAGAGGGGTGCTGAAGGGAGGAGCAGGTGGGGAGTTTGGGAAGGAGGATGATTAGCCGGTTAAGAACCGAGAGAAAAAGACGCTATGCCAGCTTTTAGAGCAGGACTGGCCCTGCCGAAGGCAGTTACAGAGGGGCAACCTTAAAAGCACATGATCTTTTATGCTCAGAGCCCAGCACAGAATCTGTCTTAAGTAGGTGCTTGGTGAATGCTTTGGAATCTGAATCGGGAGAGACGCACAGGGGAGTAAGCGGGGCGAACACCAGAGGTCATAAGGGGAATTTGTCAGGACCCCTGAGTCTCCCTGGTGATGCTCAGCTAAGCGAAGGAAGGTGGTATTTGGAGGACACACGCGTGGTGACTCAAAGACCTGCAGTGCTGGACCTCCTCAGCTGCCTCTTGGGGCTCTTGGGCTCAAGTGCGGGGGACAAGTCACAGGAGCGATGCCCACAAAACAATGCGGGATGCGTCCTTACCTTAGATAGGGCTTCTTTCCCCACGGGCTGCCCTCGGGGGGATGTGGGGGTGAGTGTCAAGGGTGGGGCCTCCTGGAGGTGTCCTTCTGCCCTCTGGTCGGAGACCTCCTTCTCTTCTGGGCATTTGCTCAGTGGCTGCTGGAAGCCACCGTCCAGGAGCTGGGGCAGGGGGTCTTCCTCAATGGAGATGATTCGGCGGAGTGCCCGGCGGGGCGGGCCCCCAGCCCCTGGCTCCTCCGTCCCTGGCTCCTCTTCTGTCAGAGGGTAAACACTCAGGCCCAGGGAGCTTCTCCTCCTCAGAATGCCAAACACGTCTTCCTCCTCCTCCGACTGGCTACTGGGTGGGGAAGAAAGAAGAGGGGGGAGTATCATAAAACCGATCAGCACGGAAGCTGGAGGGCTGCCCGATGGCTCTGTCACAGTTATTCGCGACAGACAGGTAACTGGATGGTGTCGTGCCTTTGGAGGAGAGAGCCCAGGAAAGAGAAAGGCAACCAGACCCGCACTGTTCAGCTCATTCATCCGCCACGCTCGCGCCAATGCCCGCCGCCGCAGGTGATGGTGACGGTGGGGACGAGGCCCAGGCATTCACTGGGGACGTCATGAACAGATGGACACAGTCCTGGTCCTCATGAAATGCCTGGTTTAGCGGGGACAAAAGCATGAACGGCACGAATAAATGCACTTTCCTAAACTGCGGGAGTGCCGTGAAGAGGTAAAGGTGAGGAAATAAAGCGCCTGTACTAATAGCCGGGCGGCGTGGCTCCGCTGCGGCACCAGCCCCCAGCAACCGCGTGTCCTTGGGTGAGACACGCCAGCTGTTTTAGCCTCGCCATGACATGAGGCCCACCTGCCCTATCTGTTCACAAATGAGACACTGCACAAAAACAGACGCGCTCGCGAAACATCCCTCGGCAGTGTGCGGGGCTCTGTCGCTCTGGGAGGACTCGCTCCCAGCCCCACACAGCAGACCCCCAGGCTCAGAGGCAGCCGTCCCCCCCGAAAACGGGCTTCGGGTCAGAGAAGCTGGCAGGGCATCTCCATCCGCCGCTCCTGCCTCTCCCTTTCTCTTTCTCTTGCCACGTCCCTGGAAAGTGGGGAGGGATTAGTGGCCTCAGAGGCCTAAGTGCATATTTGCTTCTAGAAGCATTTGAGCACCGAGGGCAAGGAGAAGCGGTGGGAGGCTGAGGGAACTGGGCGGCTGGAGGGAGGGCGAATGCACAGGCTGCATTTTCAGAAGGGTTTGAGAGCAGATCCTCCGAGCGCGGGAGTCTCCGGTCTTCGTGAGCAATTGAGGAGGAGAATTGTCTTAGAGGGGTGGACGTGTGACAGGGAGGACCGTAAGTCCAAATCGAAACACACACACACACACACACACACACACACACACACACACACACACACACACACACAGATTAGAAAAGAAAATGGACCAGGATGAAGAAGTGAGGCGATGGGGCCAAAGGAGACAGGAAGTAAGTGAAGGGCACTGGCTATGCAGACAGAGGACACTCTTGCTTCCTGGCTTCTAATATCATTACTCCAAAAACCAGTAGTAGGAAGGAAAAAGAAAAGAAAATGCATGTATCACCATTCTAAAGTTAACTGCAATTCTGTAAATTAAGACAAATAAGAAAGACAAATTAAGATATGGTGCTTGCTCACAAAAATGGTGAATTAGTTTGGATCCCTTGATATAAAAGGAAGGATTTGTAATAATTCAAGTATCTTTCTCTTGACTTATAAAATTCAGTTTTTTAAAAAGGCTGAATGTCTTCTTTCCAACAAACTGTATCACATGGAGTCTATTAACTGCTTGTCTGCTGTGAAACACAGTTAGCATTCCCGGCCACTCACATCCACAAGGAGGGTACTGTGTGCACACACACGCACGGCATGCTTTTTCAAAGGCTTTGCCACCAGAAAAGAAACGGTCACTTAAATAGGCCCTAAAAAGATGCATTTTTTGGAAAAAGCTTTTTATTTGGGAAATTCTCAAGCACTACTGATATCCTGTAATACCTTCGGCTTAGCAGGACTAAGTTCATTTTTGGTTTTACCACCAAATGCTCCCCACCAGCAGTAGAGAGAGCAGCTACTTTTGCCAAAGTCGGTATTGGAATCCAGGGTTCCCAATTTGTGGATTACTCAGCTAGTGTCTGCTTCCTCTGCTCAACTGTCAGCCCCATGGCACGGAGATGGGTCTATGCTCACTGTGTATCCAGCACACAGCACAGTCACCACACGCAGTGAGCACCCAATAAATATTTATTAAGTGAGCATTAATAATGGATTTTTAAAAAATTTCTCTTCCTTATGATTTTCTTTTTTTTAAAATTTTTTTTATTTCAGCATATTATGGGGGTACAACTGTCTAGGTTATGTATATTGCCCTTGTCCAACCCAAGTCAGAGCTTTGAGCGTGTTGATCCCCCAGATAATAATGGATATTAATGGTAGGATCCATGTCTAATTTATCTTTGGAGCCTTTGCAGAACTCAGAAGAATGTCTGGCACAGAGTAGCTAACCAGTAAATGCCTGTTGAATCGATCAATCAGTGAATACATTCAGTTCTGCGGAACCAACAGGCCAAGTGCTATTGCAGAATTTGGCTCTCAAATTGTATCTCATTACTGAGCTATTTGGAAAAGCAATTCATGATGATCGGGCCCAGAGATTTCACTGATGAGCTGATCTGCATCCCTGGAGTCTCTTTCCCCCCACGTATCTTTCGACTTCATGCTTGCCGTCTTCAGGGTCTCCTCGTGAGCGAGTTGACACACTTTCTCCACAAGCCCAGCACTGAAGGGTCTGGCTGCCTCTCTCTCGGTGGCCGTCTATGTGGACGGAGCAAAATGAAGAGGGGCAGGGGACCGTCTTGTCTCTGAGCCAACCCTTTGGGTACACAAACTCAATCATGTGCTGTCCAGCAGCAACAAAACACGTTATCTTTCAGTCAATTAAATATGAATCATTGAAACGATCTTTCAAGCACAGGCCCCGGTCTTGTCTGTCAAAGGAGTTGGATCATTAGAGATTTCATATGACACTTTAATTAGCCTTCACAGCCAATACGGTCACGGTCCTATGAAACCAAGTGCATCCATTCTGCTCTGTGGAAGACAGAGCATCATCCAGCCATGCCCTCCACCTCTCTCTCCCTTGTCCCTGCTCCTCCTCCTCTCTCCTCTGCTGACCCACAGCACCTCTCTGCAGACACACACAAGGGGGAGGTGGCCTCAGAAGACAGTGGCCGTCCTTGGGGTTTGCTTGCACGGTCCCCCACTGGCTTGGACATCAGAACAAAGAGGGGCATGTCCTCCAGGACTCAAGGCGAGTGGGTGCAACTGACTCGGCTTCCCCACCAGGGCCCGTCTCAAGAGGCCAGTAGGCACCGACTGAGCCTGCCGACAAGCGCGAGACGCATGAACGCACGGACAAACGGATGAGGACTCACCTTCTAAGAATCCCTCTGCCGTCCACATATTTGCCTATCACAGAGCCAGATCTCCTTTTCCAGCTTCCCTTGGAAGCAGCTGTGTTTGCCTTGGCTGCCGTATCTTTCTGTGGAAACACAAAATGCCCTCAGATCCATGCCTGCTGATTCGCTCTCTCGTTTGAGCAGAAAAGGGCTCGTTGTTCCCACCTCAGAGGTCGGGCCGTAAACCACACTTTGAAGTAGGCAACAGTATTCTGCCAGCCTTCACCTGCCAGCCTTCACCGACTCTTCCCTTTTGCCATCCTCCCTCACCAGAGCCCCCGACTCCTCTCCGATAATGTGATCAAATGAGCACGTAGTTCAGTGCCTGGGCGCCACCGTGTTTTCTCTATAGGAGCATTAGTAATTTGCAAGAGGATAAAGAAGAGATAAATGCTTAACACATAGGAAAAATATTTACAGGCATAAAAAACGTCTGTGCATCTTTAATGCACACTCTTCTGTGGGGCTGTCATCCCTCTGTATTGCCAAAGCCCCAGATCTAACGAGAAAGGGGCCACCCCAGAGGATCGATAAGCCCAGTGCCCTGTCCATAGCTCCCGAGCTGGCATAAGGCATTTCAGAACTTTCGTGGAAGTAGGCTGGACGTGGATAAATTGCTCACACATCTGTATCGGAGAACTCGGGGAGCGGGGACTTACCACCCCTTTGCCAATGTTCCCTAACAGATGTCTTCTAGGAGATGAGGGGGAGCAGATCACAGGAAGAATCTCTCACTAATTAGCCATCCCGTGATTCCCAGTGACCCCTGACGAGAGGAGGAGGAGCTGCAACGCTCCCAGAGCCCCGAAGGCATGGCTCTAAAGACTCAAATTAATCTTTAATTATGATCTTATTCCTCTTCCTTTGATTCCTCATTGGAGCTCTTAATTCCATCCTCCTTTCAAGGCAGAATGAGTTTGGCAGGTGAAGGGAGGCAAAGTGAAGGGCTTAGGGTGACATTTGGTTGGAAGTTTTAAAATAAATTCAGTGTTACTTCTAAGACAATTACAACCATTATCATCATTAAACAAACATGTGTAGGCTTAAGTCTTGCTCTAATAGCAAACACAGGTGGGCGGCAGAGATGCTTGCTGCCAGTTGGGGATATAAAAGAGATGCTGGCGTAACAGAGTCCCTCGGGGGTTTGCAGTTACAAACCAGGTTGGACCGAATTCAGGGCAAACCAGCTCCCTTCTGTGACCATATTTAGATCACTGTTCAGCTAAAGGTCCCATGCACATCACCCTCTTTCCAAGAATTTTTCTCAAAAATCCCTATAATATGTGTGTTTGTGTGCGTGTGAGAGAGAGAGAGAGAGAAGGTTAGCAATTCCTTTTCCCCATGTGACAGCTGGGGTCTTGGTCCAGGTGGCTAACGACTTGCCCAGGGACACACGTGAAATTCATGGCGTGATAATCCTGACAATTAAGAAGTTGTGTCAACTAATCCTGCCTCCACCTCTCTTCCCTTCCGAGCACCACTGGCTTGTCAACAGGGGAAGGTGAGTAGGCGAGCATGGAATCCTGGGTTCTGTGTAATGTGGCCCAGAGTGAGGACCTTTAATTAAAGGATTTCATGCGATTTGGAAAGAATGTAGACACGGTGCTCAGGTATGGAAGACCAGGGCTCCCTACGGGGTAGAAAAAAATTGTTCATAAAATCAACTACGTAAATAGCGAAATACACATTTTTAATCTGTTCCATGACAGTGTAAAATTTTCAAGAGATAGAAATTTAAATGAAGAAGAAAACTGTGAGCACTTTGGTTTAAAAGTGATAATGGCATTTCAACTGCGCCATCTCATGGATAGAACTATCATATCCCCAGCCAAGAAATGTGTGACCCTCCCAAATATTTTAGTCTTGTTGCGCCAAGAGGAAAGTATATTACTTCGTGGAAAATTAACACACTGTTACCCAGGAGGCCACCCTGCATTTTTATTATTTGCAAAAAAAAAAGCAAAAAAAAAAAAAAAGCAAAAAACCTTATGCCATCATCCTGTCCAAACTGATCCCAAGTGTTAGGACATTCTTTGGCCGGTCCCAGCATGCATCTGGCTGCCCCTGGATCACAGTCCTTGCCTTCCCCACCCCAGGTAAGGGAGAACCAGCCAATTACCTGAAAACATATGTCCCGTTCGTCCCGAAGGTGCTTGTTCCTTTCCCTGCAGATGACAAAGGGGAATCTATTCAAACATGGGGCTTGCGGTGGACACATCCAACAGCAGCCGACTTGCTAGCCCGATGGGTGCAGGGAAAGGCTTGGTGCGGAAAGCCCGGGGAGTGTGAGTCTCTTTCCTTAGGGATGTGACTCAGGGCGGAGGGTAGTTTGTGTGTAAATCAGCTCAGAGGCTGGCACAGACTGAAGCACCCACTGACACCCGCAGCCCTTCAGGAGCATGCACGGCCTCTCCTCTCACTAGGGGCACCTACTCCAGAGGGTGACCGGGAATTCCAGCTCCGCCTGTGAACTTGCTTTGAGCTCCCGCTTCCTCCCTCTGAACCGCGCACGCACGCACGCACGCACGCATTCACTCCTGAGCACCCACTACGACCAGGCTCTGTCCTAGTGTTCTAGCTGTCGAGGTCACACCGATGAGCAGAACACAAAGTCCTTGCCTCGGAGAACTTGCCTGTCAGTGGGGGGATAATTACTGTGGAGTAAAGAAAGCAGGAAAGTGGAATGAGGCGAGCCAGAGGGCCCAGGGGTGTTTCGACCAGCGTGGCTGGGAAGGCCCCACTGCTCAGGCAGCATCCGAGCAGACTTGGAGAGGGAGGAGTTGGCCAGGTGCTGGGGGCGCATTTCAGGTAGAGGAGACAGCAGGGGAAAATCCTTGAGTTGGGACACACCTGGCGTGCGTGAGAAGCAAAGGAGGCGGAAGAGTGCTCAAAGGGGGAGAAGGAGATGAGGTCAGAGGAACACTGGGGGGAGGCGAGGACCTAACCCTTCACACCCTCGTGGGCCACCGTACAAACTTAGACTTTAACTCCAAATGAGATACGAAGCCAAGGGGCTGGGGGTGGATGGCGGAGGGGTGCCAGGACCCGACTCCAGTTTTCAAAGTACCCTCTAGATGTGGTGCTCAGAATACGCTGCTGGGGACAGGGTGGTGCCTGAGACCTGACCGATATTTTTAGCAACATGGAAGTCACTGGCGACCTGGACAAGAACGGTTTCCATGGAACACTGGAGAAAAAAGCCTGGCTGGAGGGTTGAGAAGGTGAAGAAATGGAGCGGAGACAGTGAGTGTGAACAACCCCTTCGAAGCGTTTTTGCGTAAAGGGACCGAAGAATTGGAAAGTGGATGGAAGGGAGGTGAGGACCAGAGATGTCAGACAAGGAATAGTAGAGTACAGCTGTAGGTCTCTCCAAAAGAGATAAGACTGACAGGGGAGGCGAGCGAGCAGTGCTGGCACAGCGCCTGAGGAAGAAGGCAGAGATGTGGGCGCAGACGGCGCCTTGTCCTTCCTCACGCTTGGCTCCTGTTTCAGAGATAGCCAGGGCCACTCGCGAGAGCGTCCTCCTGGGCCTGTCCGTGCCCGCATCTCTGCTGTGGCGGATGACCCCCCCGTGCTCCTGGCAGAGGCCACCCCCTCCGCACTGTTCCCAGCTTGTATTCTAGAAGGAGATCCCACCCGCTCTTGCTTCCAGAGAAGGAGCAGACTGGAGAACTGAGACTCGGGATGCGGTGAGGCTGCAGGACACCTTGAGGCGAATGGCTGGGAGAGTCATCCGCTAGCACGAGAGGTGGAGGGGGTGGGCCGGGGGCCTCCAAGCGTTTGCAGCGCTGATGCTATGAATCTTCTGGGCAGTGGCCTCTGAACGAGCCCACACTGCTGAAGGGGAAGTGGGGGCACAGCTGTGGCACCTACTGTGTGCCGGGCACTCTGCTGAGCGTGTTTTGCACTGCAGGAGTGGATTGTGGGCAGGCCTGGGACTAACAGCCTGGCCCCTGACCTCCGATTCCCCCAGCCTTGCAGAAACACCAGGGCCGTGCGGGGTTGTTTTCAGTTACCTGCATGCGGCAAGCAGGCCGGCACACAGCCAGGGCCTTCAGAGCAAGTCGGAAGGGATGTGGAGGATGTTTTACAAGCCCTGAGAATGGCAAAGAGAGCTTCTCATGCCAGAGGCACCCTCGCTTTGTGTGGGCAGCGAGTTAACAGCCTTGCACCTGGGCGAGGACCTCGGGAGCCCTGGGAAGTCCCGTGATTGGAAGGCATGCTGTGCTGCTTCCTGCTTTGTGTGGCCAGCTTCGGTATTTAAAGAAATGCTATCATCCTCTTTAAATGCATCTGCTTCGGTTCATGCCACTGCCCTGCCGCGACTCCCGTTCACATGTATCATCTAATTCTCAACAGAAGCCTGTGAGCTGGGCATGAGAAAATTAAGACTTGAACTGGTTAAGTCAACTGCCCAGGGTCACATAAGCCAATGAGGGGAGTGCTGGGTCTTGAACCAGATCCAGCTCAAAGTGCACGTTCCTGAGTGTCCTAAGATTGCTTCTGTTTGCCTCTGTTTGCACTAGGATGGCAGCCCTCGTCTCCTGGTTACATCCCAGCCATTGTCCTGACCCTACCACCCTCCCCTACTCCTCCCTCCACATTCCTGCCACCCTCCCCAGCCCACCCAGCATCATCTGCCCCTTGATTCCTGGCGGTTTCCCTGTGGAGGTCAAATCTGCTGTGGGGCCTTCCCTCCACCTCCCGGCTTTCGTCAGCTGGAGGGGCTTAGTTTGGTAACCCCACGATCGATGGCACAGAAGGGCTGCAGGCACGTGATTCTGCACAAATGCTGGTCTCCATTAGAGAGACCGGTGAGTGTTTGTGGAGAGCTGTCTGGTCATCCTCCCCTGCTCAGCCTCTTGAATCTGCCCTTTTATTGTTTTTCTAAATACAATAGAGAAAAATAAGAAGAAGACTCAAAAACTTGTCCTTGTACATCTTGTTCTCTTCCTTTGACTAAAGCCTTCCTACGAATCAAGAGCTTCTCCGCAGCGGATCAGAGCTTGGCCGTCTAAGAAGCCCGGGCCTCTCCCTGCCTGCGGAGGCCTGACTGCACCATCTGTGGAGTTCAGTCTGAAAGGCCCTCAGGCTGAAGTACCTTTCACTTTGGTGGCATCCTAGACGCCAGACACAGTGACCTTACCTTGCGTTCACAAAAACCAAAACCAAAACCAAAACCTCCTAAGGTACCTGGGAAGTGATTCGAAACCACTTGTCCTTTAAAACTCAGCACCCGCAGTCCTTCTGTCTCAGCACCGTCGCCGGGAGGTGCTGGGCAGGCGGCAGGCGCAGGTGCTCGGCCCCTGCGTAGGCAAAACTGAAAAGTCCACCTTTCCCCACGCGGCTTTGTTTCTTTTGGCACATTCCAGACCAGCTGACTTTGAATTTGTTGCAGGGAGTTTTCGAAAGCGGAACCAACCCCCTTCTTGGCGCTCTGTCTGTGATTCCTCTGCTCATTCCACAAACAGGAACAGAGCATGGCCAGGTGGAAGGAGCTGGCCGGATGCGGCTTCAATTCCGGCTCCACCAGTGAGTGGCTGTGCCACGTGCGGTGCGTCACCTCACTTCTCTAGCACCAGCTTGCTCATCAGTTAGCTCCCGCGCGAACAACTGCCCTTCCTACCGCCAGGTTTGCTAAGGACGAAAGAGAGGACACGTGTGGCACAGACCGGCTGCTCACTAACCGCAGCCTCTCTCCCGTCTGCGTGAGAGCCACGCACAGAACCGCGAGAGACACAAAGCAGGTGAGGCGCGGCCCGGTGAAGAGGCCCGAACTGGAGAGGGAGGTGCGCGTGCGTGTGAACGGACCACACACGGCACAGCGGGCATCCCGTGGTGGCGCGCAGGCTACTCGAGGACCAGGGGGTAGAGGCCCCTCAGCAGCTGCGTTTCCCAGCAGCAGGCGCAGGCAGGGGCGGCGCTCTTGGACCAGCCCTTCCCTCCCGAGGCTTCCGGGGGCACCGACCAACGCACCTTAGGAAGTCCAGCTGCTTCAGGAGGCCGGCCTTCTCCCGCTGCAGGCTCTCCGTCACGCGGTACACTTCCCTGGGGAGGAGGAAGCGGGGTGGTCAGCCACGGGGCAGAGGGCGCGGTGTGGAGGCCAGCAGGCGAGGCCCGCGAGGGAGGAAGGCAATGGAGGAAGGCGGCCTCCTCCAGAGAGCACCTGCCCGGTGCAGGCGCTACAGCCGCTGCCTCAGTCACCACGGCTCCCTACTCCCCATGCTGTAGACCTGGCCCCGAGGAAGTTCCACAGTCTCCCCAGGTCACACAGACAACCTGTGACCGAGCCAGGGTCCTCATCTGTGCCTCCTGCCCCCAGACTCTGCTCGTGCCACAGCCAGCCCACACGGCGCCGGCGGATAGGGCTGGGTGAGAGCTGCACTGTTCTCCCAGGGTCGAAACCATCCGCCCTGCCCAGACTTCGGGGAATTAGAATCGGTATTTTTCTCCAGCCGGACCTCGGAGGCGGAGAGCAGAACCTGTGTTACCTGACCCCCTCCCCACTCAGATGCTGGTTCGGTTTGTTTTCAGGAGCTCTGGAAGAATCATTTCCCCATTCCCACCTTCCCCCTGAAGTCCCCAGTCTGTTCGCAGATACTTGGAATTTCCACTGTTGGGCATTCACTTCTTCGACTTAGGCTTTCTCCTCTCTGGCTGTGATGCAGAGATAGAATGGATCGATTCCAATCAGTCATTTATATCAGGGTGTGAACATGTCGGCTGTATCAGGGGTTTTGAGGAAGGGGAGAGAGAAGCAGAGGGGCGGGGGCACAGGGTGGCTGGGGGCAACTCGGATGGGGGGCAGGGGCTGTACCTGGTTTTTTTACAGCTATGTCCTCAACACAGTGCCTGGCACAGAGATGCAATCAGCAAACAGTGACAGGAAGAAAGAAAAGGGAGGGGGAGGAAAAGAGGGGAGGAGGAAGGAAGCAGGGAGGAAGGGAGGCAGGGAGGAAGGGAGGCAGGCGGGCGTTGGGAAGGTCTTCAGCACCACTCAGAGAAGAAATGAAAGGAAAACAAATAAAGCAGAGTTGAGCGATATTGGGAAACTTGCTTAACTTCACAATTCTGTCTTGGTCTTTCCCTCTGCTCCACACCACGCTTTAGAAATTTCAAAATCGCCCTTGGATCTTACTGTAAAGGGTCCATAGTTCCGCATTTCCAAACCACAGCGCAGCTCTTGGCGTAGGGAGCATCTTGCAGCCTGGTCGATGCATCACTTTCCACAGGCTGCCAGGCTGCCCGGCTGTGCACACCCCAGGCTGGGCAAGGGCAGCCACCGCTCTGCCACTCCAGCGACATCATTACTGAGCTGTTGAAAACAGCACCAGCATGCGGGGTCCATGGGACTCTCCTGCCAAGCTCCTAATAACCTGACTCCTTAAATGGTATCCGTGTTTCTTTTTTTCCCCTCTTTATAGAATAATTGTAAAGTCAATTTACTGTAATAACAGGCTGAATCAAACTCTAAGTTCACCTCAGACAATCCTAATTAAGCAACAAAACTTCTCTGGCTCCTGCAGAGCTGCAAATTTGTAGCATTTTATTACCAATTATATTTAATTTCAACTTGAGGGAAAACAATGTATTTCCCATTATCCAAACCGGGTCCCCAAGCCCCTGTCTAAGACTCTACTCTGACGAGTGCTACGTGAGCAGAGCTGCCGCTCCGGGCTCTGGGCCCTGGGAGCTGGAGTTCCCCTGCGCCCCACCCCGCCCTGCATCCCGCTTCTCTCTGGGGCGGCCAAGAGTGCACAGATTTCCCTCCACTAAGGAAAATCATTCGCCGGGGACCTGTGCTCCAGGTTCTCACACAGTGTCACTGAGCGGCTAGTCCCTACATTCTAGGTCCCCTCTGGCCTTGCTGCACAGCTGACCGTTGGAGCTACACACACACACACACACACACACACACACACACACACACACACACGTACGCACCCATACATGTCACAGATACATGCAAATATGTGCACTGTATCTATTTGTCCAGTAAACGTACATATATTTGGACATTTGTGTATACATATATACACACACGTATACATTCAGATATATATTTTTATGTCAACAAAAAGAAAGGCATTTCTGAAAAACAAATGACACTTGGATATTTGACTAAACGACCTCTAAAGTCCTTGTAATCTAGAGGTTCTTAAAGTCTATACATGAATAATACATAAACCGAAAGGGAGAGAACCTGCTGTTTTTCTGGAGTGGTAATTGGTGAGAGGTTTACGGTTACCTTTAGGGAACTGCTGTTGGCTTTGCTTTTGGGAGAGGGAGGAGCCATGGAGCACTCTGCAAGATACCAATATATTGTCAAGCGAGAAATGCGAGGAAATGCAGAACAGCATGCGTAGTGTGCTACTGTTTTATCAAGGAAGCTAGTGTGTGTGCATGTGTGTGTGCTTGTGTGTGTGTGCCTGCACACCCATGCACATGTGCCTGTGCTTGCATATACACAGCACACTCTGGAAGGATCCACAAGAAATCGTGACTGGTGGCTCCTGGGTGACGAGACTGGGAAAATGGTGGAGAGGCAGACCACTTTTTGAGTATCTATCCTTTTGTCCCTTTTGAATTTTGTACCTTGTCATACCTACCTACTCAAAATAAAAGTTAATTAAAAAATAAACAGAGATGTACTGCTTCTCAGCTGACTTTTATCTTTATATTATCTCCTTGATTAATAGTTCTTTCTTCATCTCATTTTAAAATCTAGTTCTCCTACCTTGTGCATCTTCAAAGAACACAAAAATTAATTTTGCCCGTTCAGGATTCTTGCTGATAAATGACTAAGTCTGTTTATCTCCCAGCTGCACCCTTTCCCCTCCCAGCTGCTCTGGAGCGCACATTAGAGTGAGGCATTGCCAGGGAAGCACAGGAAAATCAGAACTAGGCTTCATCCTTGTTTTCTGTCTCTAACTAGCTGTGTGGCTTTGGGCTGTTCGCCACACCTCTCTGAGCTTCAGTTTGTTCATGTACAAAATAAGGGAGGTGGATCAGAGCATTAAGGTGCTCTCAGTGCGCTGGTCAGCGATTCCCTTCCACAGAGAACAAGCTGAGGCTCTTGCTGCTCTTCCCTCCTGGTCTCCCTGGGCGGGACACACGCTCCTGGCTGGCAGGCCATCCTGCCAGCTTCTGCAAGCTTCCTGAGAGCAAGTCAGGAAGGCTCTGGAGTCTATTTCTCTCTCTCCCAACCCGCCTTCCCTCCCTCTTTTTCAGTTCCCAACCTCCAGAGATTGTGTCTCTGGCTCGGTTAATTAAGATAAGACTCAGAAAGCTTTGCGTCCTCACGCTGAGATGTGGCACTCCAGCACCGGGGGTTTATTTCCATTTGCTGTTCTGATGCTAGTGCCTTCAAATGCTTATTGCTTTTAGAACTTGATTGAATTTTAAGAGCCTGAATCTTTAATTCTGTTTGTGAAGTTAAATGCTGATACCTTGTTGACCTGTTCTCAGTGAAGAGGAACTGATCTTGCTTGTTTACGATGAAATACACTGTCCTTCCACCACTGGCCGTCCGGGAATTGGAATGCAGGGCTTCGTTTTGTTTTAAGTCAGCTACTTGGGAGGCTTTTTTTTAAAACTGGAGAAGTGTTACTAGGGTAAAATTCCTAATCCAAACACATTTCCTCCCTTTCATACCAGGCAATCGGTCCTGAATGGCACAGGACTCCACACAGGAGCCAGACTGGCAGAACAGGTTTATTTAGGCCTATGACCAAAGTCTGGCCAGCGACCAGACAGACGGAGTGAGGGCTTTCACTTTTGACCGAGGGGAGCTAACATCTGTCAACATGGGGTGCTGGTAAGTGACACTGCTCCTTTCCCTGAAGTCAGACCTGCAGTACTGCCCGGCAGCTTTCAGGACCAGACACACGACTACCTTTTGCAGAACGAATGAATGAAAGAAGAGCGTGTGAATGAGTGAGGGAGGGAACGATGGCCAGTCCTGCTGCTGTGAGAATATTTTCTGACCAGCTCATTACTCTCCGGAGGGAGTCAGAAGATATGTCCAGCTCTCAGCATCTCGGGACAGTTACTTAAACCTCTGAACCTCCGTTTCCCCATCAGTAAATTAGCGTTGGCAATAACAGTACCTGCCATGTCAGGATGCTTTAAAGGTCACATGAGATGATCTTGAATTACTGACATACGTGAGATATGTTGAATGCGCAACACAGTATGTAGCACAAAAAAATGTTCCATAAATGTTTGCCAAATGAGTAAGTCAATGAACACACGGATAAATGAGTGAACAAATAAACAAGTGAGATTCTTCTGCTGCGAGCCTCAGGGTGCGTTTGTTCTCAAAACCTAAGACGCCTAAGACAAGATAAATGGTTGATTCCTCAGTGGCTCCTCCAGCTTAAGGTCCAGACCCAGTCTGGATTCTTCCTCCGGCGGGCCTCTGCCCAGCACGCTGGACTCAGGGCCGGACACCAAAAGCAGTTCACTGGCAAGTCGGGTCCTGCGGGACGTGGGGTCCCCCCCACTGGGCCCACACAGTCTAATCCGGGGAACACCGGTGGAGAAAATGGGCAGAGCTGCAGAGAAGATTCCAGGGCACTGCCCCACGCCCCGTCAGATGACATGCTGATCTCTGAAGCCTTCCTGCTTCCCTCCAACCCACCTTGGCCTCCCATGGCTGTCACTTAGGGTCTGTCTGCTCACGCAGCATCTGCTCACAGGCTGCCTCACATTTGTTGGTGGAATAACACGCCTTTCTAGTCACATGATAATTTTCCAAGAACAGGGTTGTACATTTCTGGTCACTCCTAGGCAATGCCTGGCAGAGTACTGGTCTGCTTAATAGTGCCAGGCCCCTGGAAGAGGGTTAGAAGTGGTCTCGGAGCAATGGAGCAAATCCCCATTTTACAGGCAAGGGACGGGGTGTCTGAGAGGGGAGGGAACATGCCACAGTGGGCAATGGGCCGGAGGACAGCAGTGGAGGACACAGGCTGGACTCACGTCTCCTTCTCCTGGTGGAGTCTGCAGGCCTCCTGCTGGAGGCTGTCCAGCTGCTCCTGAGCCTCCCGAAGCTCCCGCGACGTCCGCTCCAGCTCGCGGGCCAGCTCCTGGTTAGTGAGCTTCAGCTTGGTGTTCTCAGCCTTGGTTTCATGCTTGTCATTGTGCAGAGCTGCGCACTGACCTTCCAGCTGAGAAGAAAGGGGAGCAGAGGGGAATGAGGACCAGCCACCACCATCAGGCTGGCCCCTGGCCACACCGTGCTTTCCCTGCTTGGAGGGCAGGAACCGTCACTGCTACCCCTTACCGCCCTCAAGCCGAAATCAGCATTTTCCTGCCCCTCAGTTCACACACACACACTTCTGCAGGCAGGAAGGGGCTTTCAGAGCACATTTCTCTCCCCTGTTTCCACGTGGGACCACTAAACAGTCCAGAGGGAGCTGCCCCGTTCAAAAAGACCACCAGCAAAGGAAGTTCCACAGTCCATCTGTGTCTCCCATCTCAACATCAGAATAGTCTTGACACCTGACCTAAATCTATCTTGTCCTTTAAGCCGGTTTTTTTCCTTGGTCCTTGATGGAGACGGGGAACAGCTAAGTGGCATTTGTCATAAAAGCATCCTTCTTGGTTTTGCATGCCGATGGTAAGTCTATTTATTCCCTTTTATCCTCTCGACTAAGTAAGTCCAATTCCTTTAATCTGGAGAAGCATTTTAGGGTTGCCAGAAGCCATGGAAATTCTTAGGGAATAACTAAAACAGGTCAAACAGAACATGGGCCTCTTCTATGTCCTTAAAGCAACTAAAAACCCTGCATTTTTATAATTTCAGCTTTCCTTGGCTGGTGATTATGCTTTGCAGAGCTTCCAACCCTCAACTACATACATCAGAATAAATTTAGCCTAATGAGTGTGGCCAGTAAGGGGAGGAAGAAGCAACAACGAGGGATTTCTCGTGACTCTCAAGAGGCTGCTGTGGAACCGGCAGCGCGCAGTCATTGAATTGAGTGGCGGCCGTTCATCGAGGGGTGACTCTGAGTGGCAAGGACTTGATGCATGACCGGGAGGGAGACAGCGTAGGAGAAGCGAGGGGCGAATGGGGACGGGGAACGGAAAGGCAGCTGCAGTGCCCGGCGTGGACGTCACCCTGCTGCAGAAGGAAAGAGACCGGCATCCACAGCTGGGGTGGCAGCCGCAGCGGAACAGTCCCTGGCCTTAGCAGGGGTGTCTTCGAGCACATTTTGATGTGTTCCTAAAAGTAGCCCTCTCTATTCAAATGGAAGCAATGCGTCTAAGTCTGTCCAGGGCTGGCTTCCTTCCAGTGCCAGGCGAAAGAAACTAGGAGGCCGGTGGCACCCGGGCCTCTCTCCTCCATGAGTCCTTGCTATGAAGAGGAGGCTGCTGATAGGAGGTTTTCCCGGATAATCAATCTTTCTGGGGTCGTTAGCCAGGCATCCCCAGCCATAGACACTGCCCTGAGAGCACACCAGCCAGTGCTTCCTGGGGGCTCCCGTACATCAGAGAGGCGTGTCTCATGTCTGTGTGCTTCCTGCAGGGTTACGGGAACAGTCACCAAGGAGGCCGATGAACCTCGCCCAGGCATCACGCAGACAGGGAGGGACAGACTGACCTTGGAAGGGGCTTTTCCAGCTGGAGGTATCCATGGCCATCCTGGAGGGAAGAAACTTGTCTGCTGCATCCCCCAAGATATCAGTGCTAGACAATGTCCCTTGTACCTCAGCATTTCCCTCCTTTCTTATACAGGAGGCAGGAAACAAATTCAAGCTTTGGCATTCTGGTGGCTCTTGGGTATCATTATACGAAAGTGTTTGCAGATACCTTGTGGGGAAATGCTTGGCAACTTTTCCAAGTTAAACACCTGGCACTGGAGAAGTAAAGGCTTTATCTTAGGATCATCTGTGATTTTTAATTCTGTCTTTTGTACAGCTACATGGTTCCTCTCAGATGAAAAAATAAAATCCTTAAGTGAATGGCAGGGAAAGCGGGCGAGGGACAGAGAAAAGAACGGGGCGAGGAGCCAGGTGCTCGGGGACACTGGCAACAACATACCCTTTTCTGCTTCTGGGTCAGCTGCTCCAGCTCCTGCTCCTTGGATAACAGTTGCTGCTCCAGCTCCTGACTGCGGGCCTGGAACCTCTCCGTGTCCTGCCGAGCGGGAAAGAGGGATGCACGGGACCCAATGTGCCACGCCTGGGTTACAGATCTTTTCTCCCACCCCGAGCCCGCTCAACAGCAGGGCCCATCAGGGCTCTTCCCACACATTCCAGGGCCCCAGTGAGCTACCTGCCCAGTTAGGGAGGACCAGTGAGGCAGAGAGAGTGTCGGTGCTCAGCGAGCACGCTGCGAACTCCCCGCACGTGTGACCGTGTCGCTGACTGTGCACCACCACCCTACGCCCCACCAGAAACAGAGGCAGGGTCAGCCAGTGGTGGAGGACTGAGCAGGGAGAACAGGGGCCTGAGTTCGAATCTCAGGCCTTGGTCTCCTCCTCTGTAAATCGGGGGTGGGAGGGGAAGGCGGATGACTGGCCTCACTCTGAAACACAGGGGTGTTGCTCCTTCCTCTTGAGGGTCTAAGTGTTCATTATTTTCCCACGGTGCCTGAGGTTTCCCAGGCCCTGGTCCTTACTGTGCCTCTACGCCTATGCTTCATACCCCTCCTCCCACCCTAGACTGGCTTCTCCACGCAGACGTGCCGAGCCCCACGGATGCAGGTGCAAGGGGACCCGGCTGTGGAATGAAGAGGAAAGCGTGTGGGCTGTCGGATGTGGCGCTCTCAGCAGAGTCAGGTCTGTAAGGGCCCTGAGCCGGGCAGCACGAGACTTGGGTTCTAGCCCCGCATCACCCACCTAACTTGCTTCATTCTTTTGGATCGCTTTTGCTTCGTTCACAGAATAGAAACAAAAACACCCATAGCACCAGCAGTAGGCACAAAGGAGGCATAACATGTGTAGGAAGAGAGGAAGCCATCATAACCCCAGATATTAATAACTCACTCCTGGAGCCCCCCAGGCTTCTCTGTGATATGGAATGACTCCTTCCTGAGGACAACAGCCAAGGGGCGCTGCCGGAAAGTGCTAGAAGGTTTGGCATGACAGTGTTAGCAGCACAGCAGAGCATTGGGGCTGCGCTCGGGTCAGAGGCCTTGGGACAGCTCCGTTCAGAGGCTCAGGATGTTTCTGAGCATTGTCTAGAGACGCTGCCTGGCTCCTCTGCCTGTTTTCAGGCAGGTCAGTGGGAGAAGAACCACGGGAGAGCCTGCGACTGTCCTCATCTTAACCGCACGAGTGGCACAGGTAGGATCCAGCCAGTCAGCTCCTGCCCCCGACATTTGTTTCCAGAGAATCAGCGCCAGGAATCTGCCTCCTTCCGTTGTGCTGCTCACCGCACAGGTGCCGTGAACACCGCTGGGAATGGAAGCGGCTCCAGACTCCCCATGCGGATGCTGCTGTCCCGACAGCGGCCAGTGGGGTGTTTTACTGCCCCTGCCAGGACAGAGCATGGAGGAGTCTGGGAGGGCCAAGTGATGACGAGCTTCCCTCATGGCCAAACTGTCGAGCCTGGATCCAAACGCCGGCCGGAGGGTGCAGCCTTTTCCATGATGTCATAAACTGTAACCCCGCTATCCTCACCCCATCGCCAGGCAAAAGCCCGTGTATCGAACGGCTTAACAGAGCTGCCAAAGACATCTTAGCAGTTTCCCTGTTCACGCAAAAGGCATAAATCTAAGCACCGAGCTTTAAAGGCAGCTGGCGTCCAGAAGGGATGGGGAGCAGAAGGGGACAGGTGGGCCTCGTTCACCTTCAGTGACGCTGATTTGTCCCTGAAGTTTTTCCTCTGACCTCTGCCCACTCCTGCCTTGGCCCTGGCCTACCTTTTGCTTCAGGAATCATGCCTCTTTCTTTAGCTAGGACCTTTGACCTGCAGTCATGGCCTAGGCAGAAGGGGCAAAACGCCCCACAGAGCTCGGCCTCTCTCTCTGCAGGATGCCACTGGGATAAAGGGGGTGGCTGTCCTAGGGCAAGGGAAAAGCTGCTGTTCTCAGAAACTGTTTTCGGGTCTGCTGGTGAGAAGCGTGTGATTTCGGTCCTCTGCGTGCTCGCGCAGCTGTGAGGCTGGGGTCCGCCAGAATGCCGTAAGGCCGCACACGAGCACGGGAGGGCTGGAGATGCCCACAGGCTTCCAGAGGGCACCAGCTGGAGAACATTACTGCATTTTTCTGAGAAGTGTTCTGAATCCCTCTCTGAACGACGTCTGTGACAATACCTGGAGCAGTGGTGTGGGAAATCCGAAGCAGCCCCAAATTAAAATGTGGTTCAAGGGAAGGGGTTGTGCAACAGCCCAGGCTTAGCACTGAGGCCGAGGAAGCCGCAGCTCAAGATCAAAGGCTTTTCTGCCAAGAGCCCACCAAGCGATAGTCCAAAAATGGGTAATTGAGTTCCCTGGAGCTTTTTTTTTTTTCTTTTCATGAGCACGTTCCAAAAAGGGTCCTGCTTAGCTTGGCGACGACAAGGGTTTTGTCAGTCCTGACCTCCCAAGACAGACGGCAGGGCTTGGTGCATGTGGGTATATAGGTCTGGGGACCTATAGGTCTGTGCTGTATAGGTCTGGGGACCGGCCAGTGTCAGTTCCAGCCTCACGGGGAAGCGTGCACCTGCATCCTGTCATTCGGTCATTCCCTGTTCATTCATTCACGGACTCAACAGTATTTGCTGGGCACCTGTGACGTTCCGGGCATGGTCCAGGTGCCGCGGACACCTTAGTAAGTAGGAGACAAAGACCTCTGCTCTGCGGAGCTTGTGTACTAACTAGGACAAGGAGACAGATAAGAATCAATGAAAACAAACAAGGATATTACATGTCATGTGCGAAGGTGACAAATGCCATGAAAAAAAAAATAAAGCAGAGAGAGGGGACTCAGTCGTGCCACGGTGGGGGCCTTGTAACGCCCCTTAAATGGGGGAGGTGGTCAGAGCAGACACATGGCGGCCCTTGGAGCCAAGCCGGGCAGTGCGCTCACCTTCAGGAGAAACTGCTCCTTCTCGCTTTTGATTTGTTGCTCCATCTCCTCATACAGATGCTGGATTTCTTCATCATAAGCAGCAATTTTCCTACAGAGGGCGCAAAAGGAGAGTCCGTTGGGGTCTGCACTGAGGTTCCCCTATCCCACAGGCCGCTCCCGGAGCTCAGACACCAGCACCCGCTCTGGAGCTGCAGGTGGGGGATGCCCGCGGGGGCAGCTCGGCCACGGCTTCAGGATGAGCGTCCGGGTCAGCCGACCCAGCAAGGATGCAGGCCACAGAGGTCCAGTGGGATCTGCCCGGCTGTGGGTAGGTTTCATGCGGCCTCTCCTCCCCTCCTCCAGCTGTCACTCCCGATGGTCCACACACTCCTCGGTGAGGCTGCCCTGGGCCCATCCACCTTTGCTCTGCTGTATTTCCAGGCCCAGCCTCCACCAGACGCGCTGTCCCCACCCCGGGCCCCAGCGCATGCAGACCGTACGCATCACGCAGGTTTCTCCCCCGGTCGGTTTCTCCGTTTGCCTTGTCCCTGTCTGGATGCTTCCGCTCTACCTGCCGACAGCAGCTCTCTGACACCGCGCTGTCCGAGGGCTCTCCCAGATACCCTGTGTTGGAGTATGTGGGATTTGTTTACTTTTTTTAAAAAAATTATTTTTTAATGGCCAAAAAACATATGAAAAAATGCTTAACATCTCTAATCATCAGGGAAATGGAAATCAAAACCACAATGAGATATCACTTATCTCCAGTGAGACTGGCCTTATCAAAAAGTCCCAAAACCATAAATGTTGGCATGGATGCGGAGAGATAGGAACACTCATGCACTGTTGGTGGGA